ACACAGGCTTTCTTTCCCTTTCCCCTTAGCTTTGTCTAGTCTCTCACTTTTCATCATTTTTTCCTTTGGATTGTTCTTTTCATTTCATTTTCTATTGTGATGCTACTTTTTTCCCCCTCTAACATAAAAACCTGAGTGAGACTAAATAATATCGGTTTGGGGGTTTAAAAAAACTAAAAAAAAACTTTTCTCCCTCTTTCTTTTTACATAGACTCTATGAACTTTTCTACGGCTTCTCTGTTTTTGAAAATAATTCTCTTTTCTTTTTTCTCTTCCCCTCATTTCTTCTCTCTTGTCATTTGCTCCCATCAGATATTTCTGTAACATGAGAAGTAGTAATTTTCCTGGTTGACTTTTGAGGTTCTCGATATGGTTTTGTGGTTTCCATTCTCATCTAATTCACAGACACTATTTCTCTCCTGTAGTCCCCTGAGCCTGTTTTGCATACTCTACTGGGTGGATAATGGCTTCTGGTTTGCTATTTATTGCTTCTAATTAACTACTTGGATCACAGCCTGCAGGTATTAATTTAGTATTTGATTCCTTCAACTTTTAACCAGAAATTGTCTGGCCACACCTTCCGCCTCATCTCTACAAACTACTGCATCAGCTTCTTTCTGGACTGGCTGAATCACTGTTTCTACTAATCAGAGCCTTATAATGAGGTGGAAAGGACAAATGACTTAGTGAATGAAGTTTGCATAAGGTTCACACTGGTGCAGCTTTTGCAGTAGCACTCCGCTACTTACAACTTGCAGTTTCTAACTCCCTACCACATCAATTTCAAACTCCTCAAGTTTGTTCATAAAAATACCCAATTCCACTGCTCCATTTCCTAGAACACTGTCAACAGGGACCCTTAGCTCTCAGTAGAATGGACACCTTCCTAGTACCATCTTGCCCATGAAATCAATTAATAAATGCACACAGTTCTCTGCTACTTTCTAGCTGTGTTCTTTTAACTACAATATTTAAAGTCTCTGTGGGTTACTTTCCTTAACTCTAAAGTGGGGATAATACTAGTATCTAACTTACAAGGGTGCTATAAGGATTAATGTGGATAAAGTACCTGAAAACACCGTCAGCACATAGTGAACACTTGTGAAAGTTAGCTCCAATGAGCTAGATTCATGGAAGATACAATACAAAGATAAATCAACATTCAACTCAGTTGTTTGTTTTCCAGCGAACCCTCAGGATATTATTTGGCCATAATCAAATGGTAATTTGTTTCACATTCTGGGCTGAGAACCTCAAGGGAAAGAGAGATATATTCAAGTATCAAGATCCTATCCAAACTCCTGAGCACACAAAACTGGTGGCAGGACCTGGGATGCGGGAGAACACCCTTGTCTAGTGGCATGGGGCGGGGGGAGGAGAAAATCAGGGATGGCTCCTTGAAAGAGGTGGTATTTGAGCTGGGACTATCAGCATGAGTAAAACACACTGACAGTGGAGAAGCTCAGAATTCTGAAAACTAGCACAGTGAAACTAATACAAAATTTAAATTTGAAAAGTGCTCACATTGGGAGGTTACAGGGGGAGTGGATCACAGACACCGTCTCAGCCAGTGCACAGCCTCTGGATTGGGGGTCTTGAGCAATCTGGACGCTGGAGAAATAGTCTCTGGGGGTAGGTAAGGTTGTATGCTATCCTCAAGTCTCATGGAAGTCCCTATCTCTATCCCTATTTTTCTAATTCTCTTTTTCTGGTTTCATACTATCAAGCCAGCTCTTCATTAAATAGTCTGGGCTGGGGGTGTAGTTCAGTGGTAGAGCACTTATCTAGCATGTGGCAGGCCCTGTGTTCGATCCCCAGCACCACAAAAGCAAAAGCAAATAAAGTAAAAATTCCACAAAACTCAGTTTCCTAGTTACTTAGAACCTGAAAAGGAAGAACCCTGTATAGAGGAAGTGGCATTCCGATCACAGGAGATTGACAGCTGTACTGATGATTTTCACTGGCCACTCCCTTCCCCACTGAATCTGTTCTGGGCAGGGTCGACCCTGGCCTCGTCTCCCAAATCCATCGGCCACCTTGAGTCTTCGTGCCAGTCCTCACCATGCCATGGGTCACCACTTCCTGACACTTTCTTTTCCTTTGCATCCTGGGACACCCTCTCTAGTTGTGCCTCTCCCTCTCTGGCAGGCCCTCTCCACCCCACTTCCAGACTGCTTCACTGAGGATTTCTGTTTTTTTACGTTGTTCCTGCTTTTGCTTTTTGTTTTTAAGACCGGGTCTCACTAATGCAGTTCCGATTGACCTTGAACTCATGATGTAGCCAAGGCTGGCCCCTGCCTCAGCCTTCGAGTGCTGGGATTACAGGTGTGTGCCCCTACACCTGGCTTCACTGAGGATTTCTAAGGATCTTGGGAAAGTCCTATCCAGGTAATCTCGCAGAGGCGCTGCCCTAAGGGGCTGTCATCTTACAGCCCCACCCCACCCCACCCCCAGCACCCACCAGCTGGTAACAGGAGCTGAAAGAAACTGATATAGAGGAGAGGACAAAAGAAGAATGGGGAGTGCGAGCTCAGGGCAGGGAAGAAAGAGGGTGAGAAGTGGTACTGCAGGGAAGTTCAGGTCAGAAAGAAAATTCCAGAAACAGACCTAAAGCTTCTTCTAGGGAGTAAAGAGATACTATCAGAGGTTTTTAAAGCTGGGCATGGTGCTGCATGCCTATAATCCCAGCACCCTGGGAGGCTGAGGCAGGAAGACTGAAAGTTCAAGCCCAGCCAGGGCAATTCTGTGACTCAGCAAGACCCTATCTCAAAATGAAAAAGAGCTGGAGATGCAGCTCAGTGTGGAGGCCCTGGGTTCAAGCCCCAGTACTACAAGCAGACAGACAGAAGGACAGAGAACCTACCAACAGGACTGGTTAGAGGTGGGGCTTAGGAAAGTTAAGCCCACTGTCTATGCAGAATGGGTAGGCAGGGCGAACAGACAAACCAGAGATCTGCAGATCTGCACACACTTGGTATATGCCCTGCCTCTGGCTTCTGATCACCTCACCAAAGCGTCCTCCCTCTCCCATCCCACCGGTCTGTTTGGCTTCCCACCTGACTCTACAAAGCTGTCCCTGGTGGCTAAGTACATAAAACTGTCTACACTATACAGTCATTAGTTCATTCTCTTTGCACATGCAAACTGACAAATAGAATCCAAGCCTTTTTCTTCATTTTTTGGGTACATGTGCCAATCAGAATATAAACTCTCACATGTCACATTCATCTGGCAGTACTAAGCTGGCCATGTGCAGAATAAATATGCATTAGATGTGTTCAGAAATAGGTTCTGGGCCAGCCGTGGTGGCACATGCCTGTAATGCCAGCACTCGGGAGGCTGAGGCAGGAGGATGGATGTGCATTCAAGGCCAGCATGAACTGCATAGTCAAATCTTGTCTCAAAAAAGACCAAGAAAAATAGGTTTTGGAATATTTATCCTTTTCCAGTGTGACAGACTCTGCTGCTGGGTGTCTTCCAACCCCCACGCCCCACTTATCCCTTCTTCCTAAGCACATGGCTGCCCAGCGAGACAACGCGTCCCAGCCTCCCCCGAAGCCCGGCCATGCACTTCCGTTTCTGTCAGACGGTATGAGCAGCACGATATATAGCCAGCCTAACAGGTAACTGCTTACCCTGAACAACTTTTTCCCTCCCACAATCTTCAACAGGGTCACACGTGCGGCCTGGACTTCTACTGCCCAGATGAGGGCAAAGCCTGAGGGGGTGGGAGAGGAACGCGGTGGGAGGCACCCGGATCCCTGAATGACCGTGTGGAACAAAGTTGCTTCATCAGCCCGGACCAGCCAGGCTCTTAGCCGAGAGAAAAACGATCTTATATAAGCCACTGTGCGTTGGAGTCTCTGTTTCAGCAGTTAAGCCTGCTCCTAACCAATATATCTTCCCAAAGCTACTTTTACAATAACTCCAATTTTCATTGGATATGCATGTCTCAGCTAAAAGGGTTCTGTTTCTACCTCCTTTATACCTATGTGTGACTACATATCGAAGTAAGGAAACTGCTATATGAAACTTGAGTAATCTTCCTTTTTCCTCTTTCCCACTATGGGGAATGTGGATGCAATGGCTGAAGTTCAAGCACTTATTTGGGACCATGAAACTCCATGCTATGAAAAAGCAGAATAAGATCCAGGGTTCCCGAAGGCCATGGCGCTCCCATACGAGTTCTATATTCCCTACTGCTGGTTTCTTTACACGAGAGGGATTTTTATCACCTCGATGCGATTAACGTTTGTATGTTGCACACAGGTAAACCTAATCCTAACCAACAGATACACTCAAGCAGGGATCAACATTTCAAACCCCAGACTGATTCCTAGATAACCCTCTTAGCAGAAGAAAAAGAAAATCACTACTTCTTTAAAGTTACAGAAGAGACGAGCCTCTATCCCTTCTGAACAGAATCAGTTTGGCTTTTGTGTTCACTGAGGCCGCCCTACAGGGAGAGGGGTTGGTGGCTGACAGTCCCCTGTAGCTGGGGCCACATGGCCCCAACAGTGGGGGCTCACACTAGGGACCCATACTGTGTGCGCGGTGACAGATAAGAAATGGGCTGGGTGATGTGACCCAGCTGTGGGGCAGGGCAGTGAGCACTAACAGAACGAGAAACGCTAAGAGGATGGGGCTGCAAATGTAGGTCATCTCCGTGTAAGCTGGGGTTGCCTTTTCTACCAGCCGCCCTGGTCTCCCACACCCCAGGCCAGATGGTGGCCTCCTCCCGGGCAGGACGCATGGAAGCCACACGCTGGGAACGGGGCCGCGGGGGAGTTCAGCACACCCTATCCACGGCCTCGCAGGACCTGGGTGCCCACCTCCGCCTCCGTGCCTCAGTTTCCCACGTGGAAGCTGGCAGCAGGCGCCTACAGCTCTGCGGGGCTCCGAGCCGCCTCCACCAGCATCCCCTCCAGCCCCTCGCGTGCCCCTGGGTCCCCACCCCGGGGGTCTCCCCTCTCCAGCCCGTCGGCCTCCCGCAGCCTCACCCTCCTCGGACAGGTAGCGCAGGTCGTAGAACTCCCCCGCGAAGGTGCCGTAGGAGGAGTCGTGGCGTGGCACCGCCTCGTCGGCGCCCGCGTCCCCCCGCGCGCGGCCCCGGGGTCCCCGGCCCC